AAACGCTTGTTTGTGACTGACTGGGATGATAAGAGGTTTTTCTAGGCAGAGGAGCATTGTGAGCTTAAAATCCTTCAAAATCCTCATCATGTTCTTCTTCTGACATCATAAGTTCATCAATGACCTCTTGTGGTACATTTGTAAGACAGTCATCATATGGATCAAATTCTGAATCAGATGGTGCGGCTTCAGCTTCGGCTTCCCCTTCATCTTGCCACAAGAAGTCATCCTCCATACCATCCAAAGAATTTGATATGCCTTCTTAAAAGACCTGCTTACTGTTTCTTCAGTAATATCATCCCAGGCTTTTATGACAAAGTTACACAAAACATCCAATTGTGGCGCACGCATGTTTCCTCCTTTTGTGAATAACTTTTCGCCGCTAACCATCCACTCATTCCACTGTTCTCTAATGCGATCTTTAAATGGCTTGTTTAGGCACACATCCAGTGGCTGTACCAATGATGTCAATCTTCCAGGAATAACTGCCGCATCTGTGTTTATTCTTGCCAGCCTGTTCTTTGTGCTGGTAGTTAAATGAGCCCTGAACATATCCCACACCAGTAGGCTATGTTCTTGACGAAGTCCACCTGGTCGCCTACTCCATACATTATCAAGCCATAGCTTTACCCCTTCTTCATCCATCCATCCTTTTTCATTCACATGTACAAAAACTCCAACAGGGAACTTGATTTTCAGCATTGTTTTTCTTTTAAAAATAATCATTGGTCTTAGTTTGACACCAGCTGTACATGCTAGTACCACTGTAAAACTGGACTTCTCATGTCCTGTTGTTTTAATTAACAGTTTTTGCACCTTTTGGATTAACACTTTTATTTTCAACCATATCAAAATTCATAGGAGTTTCATCCATATTTCTGATCTGACTTAATACATAACCATGTTTCTTGCGTTGTTGTAATACATATTGATGGAAAAGACTTACTTTGCTGTCAAGATCTGCAGGTAATTTTTGTGCAATTTTGGTTTTTTTGCCTCAGTACCAGATTGTGCCTTTCCAAGAACCTAGTACTCCAGGATACAGTGGCCTTAAATCCTTTGCTGTTATCTGGGTTAGATTTGGCCCACTGAAGTGCAAACATACGTATTTTGTTTCGTGTCACTACATAACCATTTTGACGATGCTCAAGAACCATGTCTGCTACATGCTTTTCGAGTTCTGGCCAATAAAGGGTGCCTCTTCTTAATGCACACTTACTCCTTGGCATACTTTTTAATGCATCTTCATTTGCTTTCCAGTCTCGGACCATCTTTTCTGTTACTCCATATTGTCTTGCCGCAGCACAGTTATTGTGTTCCTTGGCAAAGTTTACAACTTTCAGTTTGAAACTGGCTTCAAATTTCCTTCTTCTTGCTGGAGCCATGATGGGTTCTTTTCTACCAGCCATTTGTTATACACCCACTAATCTTTTAGGCCGGGGTTATACAGTACTGTAGCTTCAGCTACACACAGAATGTTCTATTTCGATACCTTTTAACTCACTGTATGTGTCCTGATACAGCAGCTTTGGCTACACAGAACGTTCCTGTGCTGCAACTGTATGTACCACAGTGAGCCAATCACAATAAGCAAAGGTTCAAAGGTTATAATATTATAGACTGCCTGACTCTGGCCAATCTGAGCAGGCTTTTTACTAGAACTCAGGGTAGCTTCGGGTACAGAAAATGTATAATTTGCATGCATAAAAAGCCTGCTCGGATTGGCTGAGTTAGAGAGGTGGTCTGAGCAGCCTTGCAGTGATTGGTGCGGGATCGAGTTGGAAAATTCGTTTAGCGGCATATCGAGACTTTTTCGGGATATACTCGGCGTATAAGACGACCCGACCCCCGATTTTCTGTTGACTTTTTTTTTTTTTTTTTTCGTTTCAAAAGTTGTCTTATAGACCGGAGAATACGGTATATGAACCCTTTGCACTCCGCTGTCCCCTCTCAGGGGACATCGGAATTCTAGCATATCACTCGGATGTCCCCTCTCAGGGGACATTGCAGTTTATTAGTGATTACGGGGAATTGAGTTAATTCAACGCACATTTCACAAAGTAGCTGGTAGCCAATGTCCAGAATGGTTCGGAGTGCAAAAGGTGAATTATTACCTTATACTCCAAATGGATTACCGGTATAAATAGAAAAGCTATAAAATTTCTCAAGAAAATACAAGAAATGCTTTATTACCTACCTTAGGAAAAACAATGATTTAATACAACATTACAAAATGCACAAACCATAAAAAAATATATTTGAGCCATTCAAAATATATTTGAAGCATCCCAGGTTTGATTCTGGTCAAGGGCATGTACCTTGGTTGCGGGTACATCCACAAGAGGGGGTTTGCAGGAGGCAGCTAGCTGATGGATGTTTCTCTCTCATCCATGTTTCTAACGCTCTATCTCCTTCCTCTCTGTAAAAAATCAATAAAATATATTTTTTAAATATATATTTGATAAATTAACTTCAAAAAATATAAACATTTCTGCCCTTTGCAGAACACTATGAATTAAAAACCCAGTCCAGAACAAATAGTCATAATACACACCTGTTCTCAATTTGTTAATGCGATAAAACAAACCACCCAATTAAAAAAAAAAAAGCTTTTCCCCTAATCAGCTTGGCTCAGTGGATAGAGCATCAGCCTGGGAACTGAAGGATCCCATGTTCAATTCCAGTCGAGGGCACATACCTGGTTTTCAGGCTGAATCCCCAGTAGGGGGTATGCAGGAGGCAGCTTATCAGTGATTCTCATCACTGATGTATCAATCTCTCTCCTCCTCTGAAATCAATAAATATATTTTTAAATAAATAAATAAAATTTTTAAAATAAAAAAAAGTTCAATACTTTACAAAAGATATATATAGAAAGAGTAAAGAGGACATGAAGAGATAACTCATCATTAGTCATTAGAATATAAAATTTAAGCCACGAAACCCATTGTGTAGATATTCTACACTCAAAATACCTAAAAGAGACACTATGAAGTGTTTATAGAGATATGGAGCAACTAAAACTTTCCCATTTAATGCTGGTGGGAGAGTTAAATGATATAACCATTTTGGAAGGGTTTGGCAATTTTTTTCTTTTTTTAAAATTTTTTTGTTGTTGATTTCAGAGAGAAAGGGAGAGAGATATTAGTAGAGAGACAGAAACATCAATGATAAGAAAGAACCTTTGATTGGCTGCCTTCTGCATGCCCCCTACGGGGGGAAGGAGGGTCCAAGCCCACAACTCAGTCATATGCTCTTGTCCAGAATCGAACCTGGGACCCGTCAGTCCACAGGCCCACACTCTACCCACTGAACCAAACCGGCTAGAGCTTGGCAATTTTTTATAAGGGTGAATATATAGCCATTAACTCTTAAATATACCGAAGCCACATGAAAGCATAATGTTCATAAGTCTTATACACAAATGCTCAACATAGCTTTATTCGTAATAGTCAAAATTCGGAAGAAATTTGAATGTCCACCCTTAGGTCACTGGACAAACCTTGGTTATAAACATATGATGGAATACAACTAAGGCATGACAAAAGAACAAAATATGAATACAACTATAAGGGTGCAATCTTGTAAACATTATGCTAAGCAAAATAAAATCAGACACCAAGAGTACATACTATATGTTCCCATTTTTATGAAATATTAGAAAAGGCAAAACTAATTTATAGTAATAGATCAATAGCTGTGTATGACAGGGATAAGGAGTGGGGAATAAATGCAAAAGGACACAAAAGTACTTTTGTTGGATGATGGAAATATTCTTTATCTTATGCTGGTACACTGTGTGAATACATATGATTTGTTAAAACTCACTGATTTAAAATTGAGTGCACTTTGATGTATGTAAATTATACCCCAATAAAGTTGATGAATATGTCATTCTTTCATTTATTATTTAAATTAGAGACCCAGTGCATGAAAATCGTGCATGGGGGCAAGGGGGAGGTGTCCCTTAGCCCGGCCTGCACCCTCTCCAATCTGGGACCCCTCAAAGGATGTCCTACTGCTGGTTTACAGGGAATAGGCTTAAACCTATTGCAAGAGATATCCCTCTTGCAATCGGAATTGCTGGCTCCTAACCGCTCACCTGCCTGCCTGCCTGCCTGCCTGCCTGCCTGCCTGCCTGCCTGATTGCCCCTAACCACTTATGCCTGCCAGTCAAATCGCCCCCTAACTGCTCTCCTGCCAGCATGACTAATGTCTAACTGCTCCCCTGCCAGCTTGATGGCCCCCAACTGCCCTCCCCTGCCTGCCTGGTCGCCCCCAACTACCCTCGCCTGCCAGACATCTTGTGGTGACCATCTTGTGATGACATGGGGGCAGCCATCTTGTGGTGGCCATCTTGTGAGGACCTGAAAGCTTTGCATGAAGGTGTGACACCACCTAGGCTTTTTTTATATAGGATAGACATACCTTTTTTTATTGCACTTCACAGATATTGTGTGCTTTTATAAATTGAAGTTTGGGGACAACCCTGTGTCCACCAGTCTACCATCATTGCCAATTTTTCAATTGCATTTGCTTTTTTTATGCAATAAAGTATTTTTAAATTAAAGTATGTACTTTAGACATAATACTGCACACTTAATATTTTTTTTAATAACAAACATAACTTTTACATGGACTGGGAATCCATGTGATTTGCTTTATCACCATATCTATTTTATTGGTTTGAAACTTAACCCAAATTATCTCCTCTATAAAATTTTGCTTTGCATATAATAGATGTTCAAAAGTTAAATGAAAAATCATAATCTGAAACATTCCTAAGATTCAAATATGAATCCATATACTTCAGTTAGATGAAAGTATGAGCCCAATTCCTAGAGGTACACAAAAATCCCTTATTAATCTTCACTGAGTCTTTACTCAATACCTACTGACCATATGCCAAAACAGTATGAACTACAAGGAAACACAGAAATTCAAAATAGAAAGAAACCCATATGTAACTGCCTAGGAAATAACAAGATATTTAAACTTACGTTGTTAGCAAGAATGCCCCATCACCACACCTTTCCAGAGCCTTTCGTGCAGGAGGTTTCGCTGCAAATTCTACAAAACCTTTTCCAGTAGCTCTACCGCGATCATCCACAACCACAACCGCTTTCTCTACTGGACCAAACTGGGAAAATGCTTGCTCTAGAAGCTCATTGGAAACAACTGGAGAAAGGTTCTTGACAGTCAGGGCTGCTCCATGTGTAGCAAAACGAATTCGGAGAGGTCTGCTCTTCAAAATGGTGCCATCCAGCTCTGCTTTTGCAATTTCAGCCAGTGTTCTGGATTCCTTTTTAAGAGAAAAAAATCACTTTTTAATGATATCAACACAAAAAATTTATAAGAGTGGTTTGTTTCTAGGGACACTCGCTGGGTAGCTTCAAGAAATGACTGATAGAACCACTTTGTTTCTGTTTCTTTCAATTTTGGTAGCAAAAATTAAAGTTAGTTTTAAAAATTAATTAATTTTAGCCCCACCACTGAGTGTCAGACCTAAGAACCAAGATGTCACATTTCAATTCCCATTCATGGCACATGTCAGGTTGCTGGCTCAATCCCCTGTAGGGGGCTTTCATCATTGATGTTTCTATCTCCCTCTCTCTGAAATCAATAAAAATATATAAAAAGTAATTTTAAATGTTCTAGAAAATCCCAAGCTCAATGTCCTATTAAAAGCCATCACTTAAAGGTTATCTGCTCATAAAAAATTACACCCTACTAATTATTCCAAGCAATATATTTTAAAATCTCTTACATATGTTAAAATACTGTACATAATAACTAATCAAAACCAAGTACCAGTTGCTATTACTAGAAACTATTATAAAAACAAAATGTCCATGCATTTTTTTTTAATATATTTTTTTCCACTGATATTTTAGAGAACAAGGAAAGGAAAGAAACGCATTGATGGGCCGCCTCTTGCATGCCCCCATCAGGTATCCAGCCACAACATAGTCATGTGCCCAGACCAGGAATCAAATGGGAAAATTTTCCATGCACAGGATGAAGCCCAATCAACTGAGCCACAGCAATCAGGGCAATATTTATCAATATCTTAATAAAACATCTACCTCTCCAATGTCAGATTAATCACCTTTCTTTTCTATTTCCATTTTTCTTTTATACTAGAGGCCTGATGCACAAAATTCGTGCAAGTGTAGGCCTTCCTTTCCCCCGGCCGCGGGCAGGCAACCGGAACCTAGGCTTCCCTCACAGCCCCAGCTTAGTCAGGAAGGATGTCCAGTCTAATCAGCATATTATGCTTTTATTATTATAGACTAAGAGGCCAACCACTCACCTGCCTGCCTGATCACCCCTAACCACTGGCCTGCCTGCTTAATCACCATTACCTGCTCACCTGCCTGATAGCCCCTAACAATCTCTGCCTTGGTCCCCAGCCTCAGCCCTCACCACCTCAGCTTCGACCGGAAGGACATCAAGAAGGTCATTCAGCTGTCCAGTCTAATTAGCATATTAAGCTTTTATTATTATAGATTACCTGTGAAAACTATCATATATTGTTAATCACTTCTGCAGAAACTTTCATGAGCTACACATTTCTTAGCATTATATTGAAAGAAGCACACACACACACACACACACACACACACACACACACACGGTCTGTAAGAGTTCTCTCCATTACATAGAAAAGCAAGTGCACATGCACTTATAAACTAGAAATCACAAAAGATGATACTTCTTAAAAAGAAGGTATAGAATGTAGGCATATAAAACAATAAACAACAAACTGGTAAACTTACTAATACAAGTATGTTCTTTTTCTTTGTGTTGTGGGAATGCTCCAGAGAGATGTAAAAAAGGCTTCCTATGCATTTGTAAGAGTACAAATATATCTCTTATGAAAAAAGTCTGAAGGTCACAAGAGCTCTTTATTCAATCCCTAAAATGTTAACAACAGCTTCAATGTACTACAGTTACGCAAAACTCTATCTACAGAGTTAATATTACAAAGACAAATGAATCCAAACTTTTTACGATATTCAAAATGCACACTTTGTTTTTTGCACTTAATAGAAGTAGTACTAGCAAATATTTAATGAGAAACTAACTAGGGATAGTGACTATGTATTTAATATATCATATAACCTGTGATACGCTGTGATGTACATTTTAGGAATGGAGTCTTGAATTTAAATGCTGTCAGGTATAATTGCAAATAGGAAGGGACACAAGGAAATGTCAATGTTCTATATTTTGATAGGAGTTTGAATTAAACAGATGAATATAATTACCAAATCAGCCCTAGCCCATTTGGCTCAGTGGATAGAGCGTCGGAGCAGACTGAAGGGTTCCAGGTTCAATTCTGGTCGAGAGTATGTAACTCCATTGCAAGAGGCAACCAAATGATGTGTTTCTCTCACATCAACATTTCCATCTTTCCATCTCTAAAAATGGAAAAATCTCCTCAGATAAGGATTTGGAAAAAAAAAAAAAAAATCACCAAATCATACAAGTTGTGCATTTTACTATATGTAGATTTCAAATACCTTTAAAAAAAATAAATAAATAAACCATGGTGATTCAGTGATTGAGTGTCTATTTATGAACCAGAAGTCACGGTTCAATTCCCGGTCAGGGAATATGTGATGAGGGCACATATACGGGTTGCAGCTACATCCCTAGTTGAGGCATGCAGGAGGCAGCCCATCTATAACACTCTCCCATCATTGATGTTTCTATCTCTCTCCCTCTTCCACTTCTTTTCCCTTCCTTTCTAAAATCAATAAAGATGTATTAAAAAAAATAATAAATATTGGACTTTAGCATTTCAGAGTCATGGACTAATGAATAAAAAGAGATGAACCAGATATGTGACATAACATATACAGCCCAACTAGTGTGGCTTGATTTCCAGACAGGACACATGCCCAGGTTAAGGGTTCAATCCCCAGTAAAAGGCATGCAAGAGGCAACAGATTGATATCTCTCCCCCGTAGATGATTCTCTCCCTCCCTATTGATGAATCAACAAAAATATTTAACATAAACATAATATATATCAAAACATTTAACTTGGAATCTAAGTGATGGGTGTATGCATATTCATTTCTGTCTCAAATATTTTATAATAAAACTAGAGGCTCTGCATCCTCTCCAATCTGGGACCCCTTGGGGGTTGTCCAACTGCCAGTTTAGGCCCACTAATGCCCCTGCTGCCTGGTCACCCCACTCAGCCTGGTGTTCATTCGTTTGGTCGTCCCTCACTAACTCCCCTGCCAGCATAGTCATAGGCAGCCATCTTGTGAGAGTTTGAAGGTTAATTTGCATATTACCTCTTTATTATATAAGACTAGAGGTGTGGTGCATGAGTTCATGCAAGGGTGGAGTCCAGATGGCCAGCACCCCAATGAGGGCTGATCAGAGCCAGGTACTGGCAGGGAGGGGATGTGGAAAGTTGACCAGCTGACCTTGCCCCCAATCAGGGTAGAGGATGCGGGTTGGGGATGAGCCAGCCAGGGTAGATGGGTAGTGGGCATTTGGGGGTACTTATCAGAGCCCCCATCGAGCTTGGTTGGCCGCCGCAGTGCATGTCATAGCGACCAGTCGTTCTTTAACTGCTGTTTTGGTTGCTTGGCTTTTAGATAGATAGATAGATAGATAGATAGATAGATAGATGGATGGATGGATGGATGGATGGATGGATGGATGGATGGATGTTTACGGGTAGGAGGATAAGAGAACATGGTGAGGCCTTTGAAAAATTAAAGAATATTTCTAGAGGGAATCACCTCCAGATTCAGTCATATAAATTTCACATCTCCCCTTTGTTGTTGTTAATCATCCCCTGAAGATATTTTTCCCATTGATTTTTAGAGATGGAGGGAGAAACATAGATATGTGAGAGAGAAACATCAATTGGGTGCCTCTCACAAGCAGCCTGATTAGAGCTGGGGGTGGCATCTGCAATCCAGGTTCATGCACTTGACTGATAACTGATCCCAAGACTCTTCAGTGTTCAAGCCAAAGCTCTAACCACTGAGCCACCAGCCATGGCTTAGTGTGGGTGTTTTTTGTTGTTGTTGTTGTTGTTTAGGGAAGCAAGAAATTTCTATTTTTATTAAATCTAGTAATTCTTCACTGTTGGCAATGAGTTCAATTTTTTTATACTTCTTGGCCCAAGGAAAATGTTAATGTGGTCTCAATTTCCCATTCCATCACTTTTTTAAAGTTTATATAGTTCATGATTTTAAATAGCTCCACATCAGGGTTTATTTGTGTGTTTTGTTTTAAGTATGTTTTCATTGATTTGAGAGGGGAGGGTGAGAGAGGGAGAGAAAAATGACAGGCTGCCTCCTGCACACCTCCTACTAGGGATCAAGCCTGCAACCCATGCATGTGCCTTGACCAGGAATAGAACTAGCTACCTCTTGGTGCATGGGACAATGCTCAACCAACTAAACCACACTGGCAAGGGTTATATCAGGGTTTTTTAACCTCAGACCACTGACATTATGGGAAATATAATTCTTGTTGGGGTAGGTCCTGTCCCATACATTATAGGATGTTTAAGTCAGTAGAATCAACTCGCAGTTTTGACAAACAAGAATGTCTCCGTGAGGATGAGGATCCAAGATGGCTGCTCGGGTAGACATCTAACCGCGGCAGCACACAACAATTTCAATGGACTACAACTAAGATGTAGAGTGGACATTGCCCAGAGCTACAGGTAGTCGACTGACTGAAAGTTCTACAACAAGAAGGAAAGAGAAAACCAGAAGGAAAATCAGAGAAGCTGAAAAAAAGCCTAAGGTACGGAGACATGCTGCCCGCCTGCCCGCACGCGCGCACGGAGAGGTCGCAGCCGGAGAGGAGGAGAGGGCGGGGAGCTGCCTTTCCTTCCCTAGCAGGAAGGAAATAAAACCCCCAGCCTGGGCTGAACCCCCGAACCGGCAGCACTGAGCCCCGCCCCCCCCCCCGAACCGGCAGCGCTGAGCCCCAGTTATGGGCCAGACCCTGGGGACCCAGGCCCCGGTGGAAGGAGACGGGGCTGTGAGGCAGAAAAAACGGCGAAAAGCAGGGCCCCGGGAGTCGCGCGCAATGCGGGCAGAGGACTGAATATTGACTCTGATGCTGGGTTACCCTAGCCGGAAGAAACAAGGCCTCTGGCGGTGCTGAGCCTCAGTCCGGACTGCTCCGAACCCCAGTTCTGGGCTAATCCCTGGGGACCCAGGCTCAGGCAGAGGGAGACGGGGCTGTGAGGTGGAGTCTGGGGAGAGCGGCGAAAGGCCGGGCCCCCGGGACTCGCGCAAACTGCGTGCAGAAG